TATTAAAGCCAAGCTTACGGCGGTTCTAGTGCTCTGAGACGTTGAAATTCTGAAAGTTAAGGGCAAAATCTGTTTTACACGTTGAATAACAGTTGTTTATTCAGCAGGGATTTTGGGAAATGAAAAAAAAAACTTTTACACAACAGTAGAAACGAGAGAGTCGGTATTGTCACTGATAAAAAGGTTGTTATCCAATAAGATGTTTTTAAAACCCTTAGATTTTAAGACATTGCTGAATAAAGAAAAGATAAAAGGAGTTTGTAACGCGAATTCAAATGAACGCACGACGGACGTAAAAAAAAGGGGAAAAACGCCGGAATTAATTGAAGCAGTTTACTCCAGATGGCCAGAGGAGGCTCGCGGATTTTATTGTTTCGTTGGCGACTAATATAGATGCAGTGAACCCAAAATTGAAATATTTAAATTTACCGTAAATAATAGAACAAGCGACATGTTCGTACGCGGGCTCTGATGGCGCCAAATGTTTAACCATCTGGCTTAGTGTTTCCATACTTATAGAACAACATTGATTGCCAGAAAAGAAACCAATTAAAATCCAACATAACAAAGTCGTCGTCCACATCAATCTTTTTCCTCTAAACAGACTTGAATCTTTTATCTAAGCTTTTCTGCCAATAGTTTGCTTTGAGGCGCAGCTGGRCACATTAGGCGTAAATTTGTTTACAGAGCCGTTTTAATTTATGGCGTAAAAACTATCGATCCTGAGTTTTTTCCCCGAACGCCTACAAATAAAAAGCTATCTTCTATTCAAAAATCGTGACAAATGAGAGTTGCAGGGTTTCTGTGGAGGACGGAGCTTGATTGGTTTCAACATACTATTAGTTTTCATGTTGCACAGCAGAGTGCTTCTTGACTAAAAAGCTACCCGTTGCCCGGATGGTGTTCAGTTCGGAGACATCTGCTAACATAATCCAGGTGCGTGTGTGTGTGTGTGTGTAATAAACTTTTTCCTCATCGACCATGCGAGCGTTGCGCCCGGCTAGATACAGAGAACCAAGAATGGAGATTTCCCAGCAGAATAACTCGAAATATAATCCTCAGGTCAAGCCTGACAGCTCTTCAAAGCATCTCTTGCCTTGTAATATTCAAGTAAATCATCTATGGGTGATTATTTCGTTGTTCGCCGATAAATAAAATTTACATAGTCTAGCTACATAATAAATATAAACGACCTGGTATAAGAGTTAGTTATTACGAAGTTCAAAGTGTGTATTAATTGAAGCTACCACTACAGCACGTCAACCTCGAATGAGAAATAAAACATTGGTGCTGAAATACGGATTTGAAGTACAACATTACAGAGGGAATGTCAGTACATGAACCAAATGAAACGGTATTTCCACTCATGTACACAACACGTGTGAAATGCTACAGTAATAAACYTACCAATTTCGGGTTCGGAGTTTCTATCTAGAGGGTCACTTGTCCGTCGTTTGACCAAGAAAGAACGTGGCATTTCAAACCAGTGGAGACAACGTTTCGACGTCCCAGTAGAACAAAACTACAGTYCTCGCATCCAGACACATAACATAAATAAACCGTATAGCCTCGCTCTCGCTCCTCAACTTATCATTCTCACTTCCGGTGCACCAGACTGGATTCCATTTTTCGACTTGTTTTTATTTAATCTTCGATAAGGAAATTGAAGACTGAGTGATGTGACTGTATTTCTTCGTTTTACTAACCTGACATGAATAGAGAACTGCTTCGATAAGAACCGGAAGCTGTCGACATCTTGATAGCCTTTAAAGCGGAAATGGTCTTTGGTCCCTTGTCCATGAGGCAGATTGTTTTAGCATTCCAAGATGTACATTTTAGAGCCGATGAATAACAACGGTTGACATTCCAGAGGATTATTATCCTTGAGGTTTCTAATCGAGATAACGATTGTGTTACGTAAGYAAGTACACGATCGTTGGGACATGTTGGGAGAATGAGAAAAGCTATGAAACTGCTTACATTCAATTCTTATTACTACAAGTTGTCTTATTAAAACAKAATTAGACGCGATTAAATGTCATCATGTGCACAACAGACGTTTATCTTACTTTTAGGTATTTTATTACTGTCGACTCTCAATGTCGGTTATCTTGCTTCTCAGCTCTCACTAACCTACTATTATATATATGTATATATATATATGTACCTAACATAACTATTCACCCACCTGCCTGCCTATCTACCTATTTACTCACATACCATCCACCTACCTTAGCATCTACCGATTTACCTACTCACACACCTACCACCCACCTACCTACCTATCTACCTATTTACTCACATACCTATCACCCACCTACCTTAGCATCTACCGATTTACCTACTCAGACACCTACCACCCACCTACCTATCTATCTACCTATTTTCTCACATGCCTACCACCCACCTACCTTCTCATCTACCGATTTACCTACTCGGACACCTACCACCCACCTACCTACCCATCTACCGATTTACCTACTCACACACCTACCACCCACCTACCTACCTATTTACTCACATGCCTACCACTCTCCTACCTTCCTATCTAACTATTTACCTACTCACACACCCACCAAACCACCTATCTACCTATTTACTCACATACCTACCACCCACCTACCTTCCCATCTAACTATTTACCTACTCACACACCCACCACACCACCTACCTACCTATCTACCTATTTACTCACATACCTACCACCCACCTACCTACCCATCTACCTACTTATATGTCTACCACCCTCCTACATACCGATCTACCGCAAATTTACCTACACACATGCATCTACCACTCACATCCATACCTACCACCCACTTATCAACCTATCCATCTACCTTCCGCCTAACCTAAACTTGATTATCTACCCTTCTAACTAAGCTTAGCTTACCTATCTACCTACTTACCCAATCATACACTCACATATAACTATCTACCTATCTATACCTACCTACCTACCTACCTACCTACCTATCTAACTATACCGCTACTTACTCAATCACACCTATCTTTGCCTACCCACTTATCAACACCTGCCACTACCTACTTCACCTAAACTCATTTACCTGACGGGCCTCTACCTAGCTACCTACACTTAGGTATACCTATCTGCTGCTTACTACATTCAGCTACTTACCCTAACCCCTATTCGCTCTACCCAACACTGTTATCAACGCACCTAAACCGCTCTTCCCTTAACCAATGAACAACCACCACCTATACTAGCTCTTCCCTTAACCAATGAACAACCACCACCTATACTAGCTCTTCCCTTAACCAATCAACCTCTTTACCGCTCCGCATTTTCGGATTGCATCAAAAGATAATTTAAATGATGTTGGTAAAATCAATTCTTCAGTTAAACTACAAATCCTAGATAACTATTGATCGTACACATTCTCCTTCCCCTTCTCTTAATTAACGTCACTTTTTTCTGCAATGGAACTGGGAGTAGTCTCAYCGCCTGAGGGCTTGGGTTACCTGTGGTTTTGAGTTGCAAAGGCTGCGCCATCGTTACTGGCATCRGTCTATGTCTAATTTCTTTAAGCACTTAACTTGCCAATAACAGTATGGACTAGTCATAAAAGAATAGACAACCGCTCTATGATAAAAGTAAGTAAGGGCCGCTATCAACATTTTTGAATTAAAAAAACCCCACACCACTCGACCAAGACACTAGAAGGGTTAAGTACGACATACTATTTTTATCCTAGACTTCGTACAAGCATATCTTTCAGTATTAATGAACCGTGACTCGGCCTAAGATAAGGTTAACCAATCTATAAGCTCACATCTGGAGAACAAGACCATCTATTAACCAGATGTTTTGGTTGGCTACAGCCGTTGTTATTGGACCTGTTCTTTATCTTTTATGAATTAAAAATCGCTTGAAACCATTGAATTTTGCTGCGAGCATGAAGTCTGTTTTAGAATTCGAGTTCCGTTTTGGACAGACGCATAAGACGCCATTTGCGCAGCCGATGAGTTTCTAAGTTTAGCTCATCGAGATAAAAACATATGCCAAATTTTGKCCACGGTTATAATAATTGCAGGCAGATCAATTAAGGGCTGAAAGAGTATAGCTCCAAAACATAAACGTCTTTAAACAAAAACTCGTGGTTCTATTGTCACATGCATTGTCTGGCGACAGTTTTTGCGCAAAAATGCGATAGATTTGATTCTAAAATGAATTTACAAGAAACAGCAAAAGATCGGTAAGGTTAGCATGTTTTTRAAAGAGTAGTACCTTGATGACACAAATCCGGCATGTCTGAACAAAGGATCAGTTTCGATACGTCTCAAGAGTGCGCACTGCTCTGGAGTCTGGGCCTGGCTTGAGTTGACTCAGTGGGGACTGAGTATAAGTGCGCAATTCCCAAGTATTGCCGGGAATGGTTAGTAAAGGTTTTATTAATACCCTCCTTAGCCCCACTCGAMCCTAAAAATGCCCAAAATTAAACGGCTGCAGTTACCTTATAAAAGTTGGTTAGAGTCAGCATYGTACTAGGYTAAATAGTYCAGTTTCGAGTTCCAAATTACCGCTGTGTTTCTTGATTACAGACTCATTTACTCAGGCTTAGCCTCGAATCAGTGTCTAAATATTCACAAATACCATCGGTAAAGTAAAGAATGCACAACTTCATCAATACGAACACTTTGAAACTTGACTGGAACACGTGAATATTCTTCACAAAATCGAGGCTAAGCCTGAGTAAATGAGTCTGTAATCAAGAAATACATCGGTAATTTGGAACTCGAAAAGGGTCTATTATAACAATATCTTGTTAGCAGTGCACGAGGTCCGTAACGCACATTATGGACCGCAAACTGACCAATCATATTCATGAAATAAATAAATAAAACTTTGGTTAACCGTGTACTTTACGAGGTCTTTGCCGTATTATTTTTCCTTCAAATTTCTAACGATGTAACTCTACCTTGGGCGTAATGTTTTCCCATTAAGGACCACGTGTAATCCCCTAGAATATTATTTAATTCTTTAACGGTTGCACACACCGCGAGAAGTAACGAATGTGGATACGACTCGAAAAAATAAACATACGCAAAAACGTGACACGTGACATTAAAAAAAACAGCAAAACAGATGCAAAGTGAAAATCTACTTCCAACATGATTGGTATTATAAATACTCTTTTTAAAGTTTCTAACTTGTATATTTGGGTGTTTTGCGCATTCTGTTTGTTTGCTTGTACTCTTAATTACTTGATTTTCTTGTTATTCTTTTTTATTACATGGGCGTATCAAGGATAAGCCACTTCCCATTAACTTCAACAAGTCATTCACCTATCCCTCCCCTCCCCCCAAGCATGAACGTTGAAATAAACCGTCAATGGATACGCCAATGTTTGGCCCTTATGTTTTCTCCTGTTTGCCGGGCTGAACCTCCTCCAACTCAAGATCTACTCAGTAATAATCTTGTTACGGTATCGCGGATCTCATCGTACCCGCAGATCTTGATAATATTTCTCTCTGACTTCGTTTTGGGACACCTAGATTTTGTTCCAGACTTAGATTCATTCTTTCTCTAGATCTCGTCTAAGATATCGCCATCCATCATGGCTTCGCTTCTTGCTATGTTACTCCAGATCGTGCTAACAAATAATGCACGTTCTTTGTCCGTTGAAACAATATATACAACAATTATATACAACCACATGTTCTGGACTTATGCACTAAGCCGGTGAATATTCCAACTGATTGCAGTGCTATGACGTATAGTTCACGCGAGTAATGACGTGATTGTCTGACTTCGATAAGTGGCAGTGCGTGATAGAGTCGGTGTTTTCAATTTGACCAGGACAATGTATATATGAATATCACTGCATCGTGTAATGCTAATAATTAYTCTTTCTAGTTCGTCCACTTTAGACCTTCATCGGCTTAGTCTCTTCAGTGCTGGCTTTTYCATCGTCTGGTCGAGTGCGACTAAAGAAACCAAACTAGAAAAAAAAAAGAAATGTTGAAGGACACAGTATAGTAGATGATATAGTGCAGTTTTCGTATGACTGTGAAAAGCTCGGTGCCGTAAGCGTGAGGTGCCGTGACCGTGATGCTTTCTAGAATCTTAATTGGCTGATTTTTTTCACGCGCAATGTGATTGGTCTGGCATTGCCGTGACCTTGGCGTGACCATGTCCGCGCCGTGTTTATGCTGTGTTCCGGGTATTTGATTGGAAGGAAAGCAAATTCTCGTGCAATGTGATTGGTCTGGCGTATCCCTTGCCGTGTCATGGCCGTGTTCGTGCCGTGAATTTTTCACAGTCATAYGAAAACTGCACTAAAGGACGATGTTGGTGATGGTGATGTTGATGTTGATGGTTATGGTGGTGGTGATGCTGATGCTGAAGATGATGTTGATGATCAGTGATAATCAGCCTGTTGATAATCAGTGCAATGATGCTTTTTGCTCCACACGCTCTACCACTACATTCACTATTAAAGCCCAATACACTTAAAACTTATCTGACATGCTAATTCGGATAATATAACCTCTTGTGATCCTTGCACAAAGCAGTGCATTATCTGGGAAGTGTCCTCATTACTCATGTCTGTCCGTACTCACCTTATACAACATAAACATTGCGAGAAGCAGAAGTAATATTCCAGAAAGAACAGATACTAAAACAATCCACCACTCAATGTCTTCCTTATTTGTRCTGCCAACTTTACCAGGACGAGCCATCAGTTCAATCTGAGCAAAATAAAACGAAAAATAGCTTAATAAAATACAAAAGAAAAAAGAATGTTACTATGGTGGCACTAAATAAGCGAGCGCGAATACAAGCAGAACGTATCAAAGATCTTACACTTGCGCTTGCATCTCGGGTGTAATGTTTCACACTACCTCACCTGTTAAGCAAAGGCCTTGTCCCAGAATTGAGGGCAAGCGCGCATGTTTTTGCGCGAAAATTCCCGCTAATTCCACAGAAACCCCGTCAGTATAAGCCATGGTGAATTTTTTTTCCCCCTTCCCTCCACATCCGCCTTTGATTTCCTGAGTATTTACTGTCGTAGTCCTAAGTATCTATCTGATTCTATCATCTTACCATCACATGATCATTAGTAGTGTTTGTCTGCATCACCTCTGCTGGTACAGTAAGACCAGCCCTAGTGATAAGGCGTACTGTCCCTAGGTTGTTCTAAGGGGAAACAATTCAAAAAAGAAAGATTCAACTCAGGTCATAGTATAGTTTTTACGAAAAAAAAGTTTTTATATAAAAAAGAATGTTTGCTGGACCGCTCTCCTCCAATTCTGTCTCATTAATTTAAATGAGACCCCAAAAGAACCTCTATTAAACAACCAACTATTAAGCGATCAGCCTATATTTAGCGACCAGTTGCCCAAAGTCCTAAAATGGGTTTCACAATAACTTATATCCCAACCTCTATTTAGCGGCCAYTTGACATTRCCCCGCGGGTGGCCGCTTTATGAGGGTTCTACTGCATTTCTTACTTGTATGAAGGTGGTTTGCCAGAGACGCGCTGTGATCTTGATGCGTAATGAGCTGCCCGCAGAGATCAATCCAAGAACACAGTTGAACGAATAGCAGACAGATGACAAGCAATCCTACAAAAGATATGCAATAATAATGATTATCTATCCAATATTTGGGCATTAAATGTGCAGAAATATCTAAGATTCTTTAGAATAAACAAACGTTTGTCATGATAYTATTATTATTACTGACAAGACAAACGTCACAACGTCCATAGCTATCAYCATCGCAGCAATCATTATCACCATCAACAYAACCATTATATCATTATCGTCCTGGATTTTTCTCAAATATTTCCAAAACTAAAAGTGAAASCCCAGTAAAGAGTGTACTSTYTGTTTGTCAGTACAACGTTTTTGTGTATAGAAATAATTACTCTAGTCAGTCAGTATCGAGAAYGTCATAGTTACCATTCTTTGCGCACTCGACAAAGCAGCTCGTTTTTGTTTCMATTGTTGGTCTTGATTGGTTGTATTACGCGCAGGTAATGATAATGGATTAGTGATTGCGTTACATCTTCCTGGACCACCAGACAACTAACAATGGAAATGAAATAACAACCTAAATACTCATTATGTATCACAAGACATGAACTCTATAAAGATTTGTCTTACTTTTTCTTCAGGACAAGATTTGTGGTCCAAAGTTCTCACTCTTTCATGTGAAGGTTATAAAAATAGCCGTTGCGCACAATGAACGCGCACTTTTATTGGAAAACACGTGCTCTTATTTGTCTAGAAAAAAGAAGCCGGACTCAACTAATCCAATTGAAATTACTTGCTCTGATTGGCCCAAACCATTTTGTTGTTTGGTAAACTCGCCCTCTCTTTGCGCTATCAATTAATGATGCGCACTCTTATTGGTAAACACTGGATCACGCGCGTTTTTTTTCTTTTTTTTTTTTTTTTGGTCAACGACTCTCTTCCCCTTTCTTGGTGGACGTGCTCTCAATGAAATAATTGGAGTCAGAATGCGTTAATTTACTTGAAATTTGTTGTCTCTGACTTGAAACTATTTTTTACAATTTTTAATGTTTCGACCCATGACCACTGAAGAGATCCGTGATCACGAGTCCAAATTTAAACGTTGTAAAAATAGTTATAACATTTCAAGTCAACAAATTTCAAGTAAAATGCACAGTCTCATTGGCCAACACTTGCTCTTTCTGGATTACGCGCCCTCTCCAACTTGCCCTCTCATGCGCAGGTTTCGTGGAGAACGCGCTTTCAATGCCGGATATCGAGTCCTCTCATGGCTCCTATTCGAACTCTTCTTGATTAAAGCACTCTGAAAAACGAACGCTCTTATGAGCACTTTTCTTGGAGAACGTTGTCCACTTGATAACGCGCGCTTTCATAGCTATTATTCACACCCTCTTGATGAACGCGCCCTCATTAAATAATGTGCGTTCTCATTTCTCACTGCGCACTTTGTTTGCAGAATGCGCTTTCAGTAGGAAATGTACACTTTCAATGTTCAATAGTGCATTGCATTTAAAACCTTTTTAAAAACTTCCTTGGACTTAGGGAAAACCACTTCTGTCATCTGGCACAGATAGACGTTTTGCAGGTGCTTCTATCAGTCGGAGCGTGTGTGTTTCACATTTAACCCTTATTCTCACCTCTACTTCTTGTAGGTATAGTAATACGCTTTCAGGATCATCTTTGGTTTTTAGTTGTGGGATTTGGATGTCTACCGTGATGCCTTCTACAAAACTAGGGCCATGGTTTTCGATCTAGAAATAAAACAAAAGACTTGTCAAAATGAATCT